TTAATATTACCTTCTTCCTAGAATATATATCTAATTTTGACTTTTTACATTTAAATTAATAAATTTGGTCTTTAAGTAAATAAAACTTATATTAGATATTGATATAAAATTAAATTTCTTAGATTTATGTTGTAAAATATTTTAAAATGTTTTTTATGTAATTAATATATGATGTACTCCGGAGTAGTTAATATTGTTTCAAAACAAACAGAAAAACAAATACCTAAGAAAATTTTTGAAATAAATAAAAAATAGTCATTCCATTAAAAAAGAGTTTGAATTCTAGAACATTGCAATATCTAATTTTTTGAAGTTGCCAAATCTAATTTAATAAAAAAAACTTTTGAGCCTTCATAAAAACTACAAATGCAAACTTTTAAATTGAAAAAATAATAAATTGACACATGGCACATATATATTGGACCACAGTACTTAAAAAACAAATGCCTCAATTCTTCCATCCTCAAGCATCGGGTGCTAGGCCAAGCATCTTCTTTTCATTTTTCTCTTTGAGCATCTTTATTGGGCATCCATCTACAATAGTAGCATCCATCAACATCTCACTCTCTCTCCTCCTAGCATCTCTTTTGGACATCCCATTGGAGATGGCCTTACATCATTTGATTTTGCTTGTTCAACTCGTTTTTCCTTATAAATAACAAGGATCCATTGAACATAATTTAATTCATTGGTTCTTAGTTTCACTAAGTGAAACTAAGATAATAGTAGGTTGCTCAAAGCTTTTATTTGATCTTTACCATAACTACTTATTTAACTCTAAATAAGATTTTTTATGTATTCCCTATATACTAGGATGAAACCTTCATTATTGAATAAGAGTAATTATTATCATATTATATATCATAGTATCAGAGTAAGGTTTCTCCCTCTCCAAACAAATAGTGTGTGTGCTTAACAATCGCTACCGATACCGACGATAATGCCTACTCGCCGTCTCTTATCCTTCTCTTTCTCTCCAAAAAATATGAGTGTGCCTAACGATTACCGTCATTTATCCATCTCTCTCTGCCATAACAAATTCATGGGCGTGATCGAAGAACTAGAAAACTACATTTGTCTATATTTTTCTAGAGTTTGAGAGCATTGAAAGCAATAGAGAAGCAAAGAACGACTTGTAAGCATAAAAAAATGAACTCATTGACATCGCTTCAATCGTCAACACTCTCGACGGGCAAAAAATTCAGAACACGTACTCCCTCTCAAGCTCATTTGTCATAATACGAGGACCGGTCTCTCTACTTGTAGCGGCTATCCTCACAAAATCGAATTTTCCAGCTTCATTCCATTATATGTATTCCAAGTTGTTCCTCGTTACAGGTGATCAATTTGTGAAAGGGATATTAGGAATATTAGGATCGGATAAAGGAAAATTCTTATGTGGTCATAAGGTGCGCACTCATTTTATGGACTTCAATATATAAACAAAAGATCCCTTTGTTGGTCTATGAAAACTATGAGAAGGCTCACATTTGATATGTGGACTTAAAAATCATGGAAGCACAACTCTATGACAATAGGAATAACTGAATAAGACATTAGTATTATTATTTACTTTTCTTGTAACACCCCGAAAATAGGTCTATCAGAATTAATTAATTCATAATTAATTAATTACTGCTGTTGGGTTCTGGAACCCAAGGGTAAGAAAGAAGGAGAAATATGTAGATTAGACGATGAAGATGATGAATAGTATAGCCTCTCTCTTTTTTCCCCTCCCCCCTCTTCTAGAAAGAGGGGTATATATAATGGGAGAGTTAGGGCTAGGGTTTCGGACTAATGGGCCGGCCCAACAGACTAAGTCGCCCTTAAATAAATAATTAATATACGACTAACGGGCCGGTCCAATAGACTGGACCGCCCTAACTAATATTATACAAAGACCGGATACCCCCTGTCTAGGGTATCCATCACTAGGTATTCCCTTTGGGTCCAAGACTACATTTGCCAACCACTCGGTCTAACTTACCTCCCGTAAATGCCCTATGGACTGCAGGGTGCTTAGTTTCTTGACCACGGACTCCCTTCTCTTTGAAGATAGAAAACGTTTCTTCTATTTCACCGGCTTGTGATCCCGGTCGATAGCCAGTTTGTGACAAATGACCTGCGGATCGATCCGGCACATATCCTCAGGCCCCTCGGCAAATAAAATCTTTAACGCTCTAAGAGTGCCGGCTAGTCACTCCCTCAATTCCCGTTGTAACGCTCTTCCTATTTTCACCTTCTGGTTGGGCCTCGCTGGATCAAACACTACTTCTTCTGCCTCCTCCGCTGGTTCTTCCCTAGGTCGACCCTCTTCTTTCTGGATTGCTCTACAAATTGTGCTGACATTATCATCTACCCCGGCGTTCTTCTTGGTTGCCCTGACGTAGCATGACCTCAACAAAGTCTGATTTCCCTTTGCCACGCCCGCGGGGGTCGAGAATTTCATGCACAGATGTGTCGGGGAGATTACACACTCTAGATCTTCCACGCCTGGTGTCGAAGAACTAGATGGTGTACACAATCGAGGTGCACTACCATGAATTCCATATCGAGCTAGACCTGATGGGTGCCATCCCAACCTCGGCCCGGACCATGATTGTTCCTTCCGCTTCTATGGTTTCCCCGGTGAACCTAGATAGAGGGGTACAGATTGGTTTGAGGTCTGCGCGGGAAAGCCCCAATTCCTTGAATGAATTATTGTACACTATATTCATCGAACTTCTTGTGTCTACTAAGGTTCGATGAACCACTACCTTATTAATTTCTACCTTGATTAATAGGGCGTCCCTCTGGGGACTGGTCACTGGTGGGTAATCCTAGTTGGTGAACAAGATTGGCTCCCTTTTCTTCTTCTTCGGGGGAGGAAGCCTGTAACACCCTAATCTGTCCAGGTCTGCAGCCCCTTTCAGACTAAAGTATTAACTTGGTAATCATAAAATTTAAAACATTTCAAATACTTTTATTCATCATAAATATTATTTAATACATAATTGTAGCGAAATGCAGAGTGTTTAACAATAATGCGGAAGCAAATTAAACCATGTTTAATAACAACACAATTATTTATTTAAAATCACAAATTCCACCACGACAGTCTCGCCCCTTCTGCTGCCAGGAACATGCCAATCATTCATTCTGCCTACCTGCGTGTAGCAAATAAAACATACTACACGCTCAGCGATGAAGCTGAGTAAGCATATCTAAAGCGTCGAACATCCACATAAATTGNATAATGCGGAAGCAAATTAAACCATGTTTAATAACAACACAATTATTTATTTAAAATCACAAATTCCACCACGACAGTCTCGCCCCTTCTGCTGCCAGGAACATGCCAATCATTCATTCTGCCTACCTGCGTGTAGCAAATAAAACATACTACACGCTCAGCGATGAAGCTGAGTAAGCATATCTAAAGCGTCGAACATCCACATAAATTGAATCTCAATTCACAAATAATCATTTGATATCATGCACACAATATATAATTCATTCATGATATTTTCAATATTTTTTTTTATTTCAATATCTCAACATTCATATTCAATGTTCAATATTTAACAATATCCTTAACTATACTTAGTCTAAGGCCAATTCCATTCTTAAACTAATTCTAGTTCAAGATATCCTAATCCTTAAGCTAGGCCTAGTTTAAGATATATTTTTTTTAAAAGAGAGTTTTTAAATCTTAAACATACCTTCGCTTAAGGTCAACCAAAAACCGACAGCGTAGTGTTCACTGTTGGGTTGGGTGGTACCCCCAAACGAGTAGGTACTCAAGTTTGGTTCCTGGATCCCGTACGTACGTTTTAACCCTAGCCACCGGGAATCATACTCGCAAGGCCTAACTTATATAGGTATATCCTAGAGTTCTTCTAGATACCCTTCAAATCAACATTAATATGGGTATATCTTAGAGGTCTTCTAGATACCCTTAACAATACATATTATTTTCACAAGCATCAATATATTCATTATGATTTAATCATTCATAATTTCCATTTTTAATCAGAACAATTATCAAGATTTAATCATCATAATCATCCACCAATAATTATTATCATAATCATCATTCAACATAATATTCAACAACAATTAGCGGCCTAGCTTCGAGTGTTAACACTCAAATTTACCGTCGTGCATCACACAAGATTTTATTTGCCAAAAACATCATTTATTACACAAAATCATATTTAAATTGTTCATAATTAATTAGAATAATTTCCATGAATTGTTCATAAATTGTTCATATTTCCAAGAATATTTTTGGAACACTGGAATGGAGGAAAAATCGATTTATTCAATAAATTAATACAAAAATCGATTTTTAATATATATTAATCTATTAAATATACAAAATCGATTTTTCAACATATATTAATCCATTAAATACACAAAAA